GGACAGCCTGCCTCTCTCTGGCTAACAGGATGTCCCACATGGGCCCAGAGATTGGGTCATGAGTGGAAGGCAGGACAGCTGGGAAGACACCTGGGTTCTTCACTCCAGTGTCAAGTTGCTATTGAGCACGGTGCCGGCCTTACTCTGGGCGAGGAGAATAGATACCTGCCCTCTCCCCAGGTTTCTCCCTGGCCTCCTGATGGGGGTTTTCTGGGCCTGCCTGCTTGCTCCTCTGGGTAGCAAAGGAAGGCACCAGATATAGCCTTGGGGAAGGAGCCCCTGCCTGGTGCCTCTGGTCAGAACACACTGTGGGTCTCCATCAAAACTGCCTGAAGACAGCATGGCCGGTCCCTGTGGATCAGAGGGTCTTTGTTTTGACTGTTTCCAGCCAGGATTTTCTAAGAGCATCCCTGCCACGGCACCTCCCTTATAGCTATCCCCACCAGAGCTGAGGAGCTTGGCTGTCATGGCTACCCAGCGTCTGACCTCTGCGGTGGCTCTGTATGCCTGCCTCTCCAGCTCAGCCAGTCTACACTAGGGTACAGGGGACAACAAATATGGGGACCCCAATGGTCAGGCCTGAGCCTGGACACAGGTGACAAAAGACAAGTAGACAGAAGGGACAGGAGTCACAGAAACTTCTGAAAGGAGCCGCAACAGGCCAAGTCCCATCCTCCTGGGGAGGGTTTCCAGCTCCTTGTTGGGCCAAGCCTCACAGAAAGTGAGCACACGGCCCAGCGATTGGGACCAGTGGGAGCTGTGAAGACACCTGGGTTCCTCACTGCAGAGCCGGCCACTCCCTCTCCACGTAGTCCACACAGCACCCCCAGCAGCACAGCTGTTTCCCCATCGTCCAGGCAGGGCCGGCACAGGTCCCCTAGGTATGGAGAGCTCTGTCCCTGTTTGGCATCTCTGCCCTCTGACTCCCCAGCCTTAAGTCAGAGTTTGTCGTTGGGGCTCCCCAGTCCCTGTCCCTTCTGCAGAACTCAGGACCCAGGAGCAGGGAGGAGGGACAGGTAAATCCACACCTAATGTTATCTGGGTGCTGGAGGACACTTACAACTTTGACTCAAACTATAAAAAAGCAATTCATGTAGCCAGAACACCTCATAATAGTCCAACATAAATAAAAATGAAGTGGGAAGCTACAAATGGGAAAAACACCCAGAATTTGAGATTGTGTGGTCCGAGACGCACTGCGAGTGGGCGCGCCGATGCCGCAGCTGAGGCTCACATGTGGCCGTGGGTCATCCCACATGGGATGGGCAAGGGAAGCCCAGGTGCTAGTTAGCCAGGTGTGAGCAGTGCACGCTCCTGCCTGGCTCCACTGTGCAGGTCTCCCCAGCACCTCCCTGATGTTTGGGGAGGGGGGCTGCCTCCCTGGGCCGCTTGGGGTTGCTTTCCCAGGGGGTGGCCCCCACATACATGGCTTGGGGCAGCTGGCAACCAGGTGCTCTTTGAGAAACGCCATGGGATACTGTTCTGTTATTCCATTGTTTGTGGTGGGAGCGGCCTTGGCCACAGAGGAGGTGTATGAAAGCACACCTGAGTGTGGATGCTCCCATAGCACAGCCTAAGCACCACCAACTCCGTAATTTTCTGTTAATATTCTTTTTTGTTTTTTTAAGACAGAGTCTCACTGTCATACTCAGTAGAGTGCCACAGCATCACAGCTCAGGGGTCCTCAAACTACGGCCCACAGGCCACATGCAGCCTGCTGAGGACATTTATCCGGCCTGCCAGGTGTTTTTGCCGCCTGTCCTGCTTAGCATCTGACTCGTCCCGGGACCCACAGTCTGGCCCTCCAACAGTCTGAGGGACAGTGAACTGGCCCCCTGTTTAAAAAGTTTGAAGACCCCTGCTAGCAACCTCTAACTCTTGGACTTAAGCAATTCTCTTGCCTCAGCCTCCCAAGTAGCAGAGACTACAGGCACCCGCCACAACTCCTGGCTATTTTTTGGTTATAGTTGTCATTGTTTGGCAGGCCCCAGGCCAGGTTTGAACCTGCCAGCTCCAGTGAATGTTGCTGGCATCCTAGCCGCTGAGCTACAAACGCCAAGCGTTCTATTAATATTCTTGGCCGCATCTGCATTCTGTCTGCCAGTGCAGGCACCAGGTTTTAAGAACAATTTAGGAGAGTGAGAAATAAACCTACCCAGTAACTTAATTTCTCTGCAAATTAGGAAGAGACAGCCAGCTGTCTGTTAATATTAATGGCAAAACCAGTATCTTGAGCCCTCAGAACGGGGTCTTCCGGCCGGGACCCTTGAATGGCTGAGGACAGCCCTGAGAGGTGCAACCATCGCCAAGGGTGGTGTGTTCAGGCTGCTGCTTCTGAGTCTGGGCCACCTGTGAAACAGCGTTGAAGGACAGAAGGGGCACCATGTTTAAAACTAAAATGTTAAAGGAAAGGCTGCCTTTTAAATTTGTGGGGTTAGAGGTGTGTTATAGATGTGAATAGTGGGAAAGGAGATCTTCTAGAAGTTGATCTGGGATTTTACCTCAATAAATTAAAAGGAAAAAATAATTTAAAAGAACATTAGGGTAAATTCAAAATAGAAAACTTGCAAGAGGCAAAAGTGGCATGATGAAATCGGTCAGAGAGAGCGTGAGCAATTCCCAGCTAGTTCTGTAAACAGATTTAAAAAATAGGTAAGTATCTGGTGACATAGGCTGAGAAGTGTCTTGGCAGGCACAAGTAACATTAGAATGAATCAGTAGATCAGCATGGATGTAAATTCTGGTAGAATGTGATAGGCTGAGAAGTGTCTTGGCAGGCACGAGTAACATTAGAATGAGTGCAGATCGGCATGGATGTAAATTCTAGTAGAATGTGATGGGCAACTCTACTCAGTTGTCTTGAAAACAGACTCAAGGAGAAATTTGCTAACAGGAGGGAAAATCTGACGGCTTTCAGAAAATATTTCCTTGTTGACAAGAACACTGAAATTAACCTAGGAAAAAATAGAAAATCTAGATGAACAGCAGTGTTAGAAGCTGGCAGCAGAGGTGCCCGCTGGTGGCGCAATGTCGTTTCCACATGAGGAAGCAGACAGGAAATAGTGTGTGAATCTTGCTTAAGAGCTGGTGAAGAGTCCACCCCAAATGCACATTAGCCAGCACACACAGCAAAGTGAAAAATAATAACAGGTGGCTTCGCAGTACTGTAAGCAGGAGTTTAGTGTTGGGAAACTGAGTTCAGTGTGGCCCGTTAATAGGTCAGGTGAGAGCACGCACTTGATTACCTCAACAGATGCAGGAAAGATATTTGATAAATCCAGCACCCATCTATGCGTTAAAGCAAAATACATCTCCTGGAGCATAGGGCCTGGACAGGTCCATCCTCACCAGAGAAGAACACACAGGGTCGGGAGGTCCTGTGGGAAGAAAGAGCAACCCTGACAGGGCAGGAAGGAGAGACTCGTCAGAGTCCATCACTCGCAGACCAATGTCCAGAATTGCACTGGACAGGCTGCCCGACATTTCAGGTGTGCAGAGTGTGGGCTGGTGTGTACTATGAGAAAATACCAGATGTCCCAGACAGCATGAAATATGTGAAGTATCTCATTAATTTTATATCCAGTATATGCTGAAATGGTGTTTCATATACTGGGTGAAATAAACTATGTGTTAGATGTCCTTACCTTTGTATTTCTTTAAATATGGCCACTAGAAAATTTAAAATTACACACGTGGTTACCTTGTATTTCTGTTGGGCTGTGTTCTCACTTGAGACCAAAGGAATCCACAGAAAACCCGAGTGGCCAGAGTGGAGGCCTCACACAGCAGGCAGCAAAAGTCACCGGCAGGCAGGCGTGGTCAGCAGACCCAGGACCTCCACCTGCCTTTCTTTTCTGACTCTGCCGAAAGCCTGCACCACAGGACATGTATTTGGCTACCACGTCCCTTCCCTGGGACACTTCTGATTCTGTGGTCTCCTCCCCTGGGGTCTGTCCTGGCTCCCACAGGGCCTGGCTGGGTCCCACATCTGCCTCCCCAAGGAGTCCCCACCTGCTTTGCACACACCCTCCCAGCCAGGACTGTGGTCTGTGTCTGACCCCACAGCCTCTCATGGCCCTGGCTTGGGCTCCCCTGTTGTCCTGGGTGCCAGGGCGTCTCAGGCCCCTTCTCCTGCCCAGGTCTTCCTTGGGCTGGAAGGAAGTCCCACCTTTGTTCCAGTGGGGAAGATGAGTCAGTTAGGCTTTCTCACCTGAAGGCCATGAGGTACCAGATTATTTTGAATGACTATGATCAAAGTGCAGGTACCTGTGATCTAAGTAATCGTCATTGGTGCTTGATTTGGACTCATTGTTCTGGCCAATATCTAAGGCTCCAAGACTTGCTGGGATGCGGGCTTGGGGTGGGTGAGGGAGACAAGCCTCTTATGCTCACTTGCCCACCCCTGCAAGCTGAATGAAGGTGGCTGTCCCCATGTCCCCCTGCTCTCTGGCCACCAGAGTGGATTAAAGAGCATGTCACAGCTGCCTTGGGCTCCTGTTTTTCTCGGGTCTGTCCAGGTCCCATGTGAACCTCCTCAGCCTCAACCCTTGGCACTGCAACTCCTCTTCTCTGTGGTCTGAGATGCAGTGAGTCTCACAAGCTCCAAACCAGCTACCTCACTGCTTTGCAGGTGGTGCTTGGGGCCATAGAAGCGTCCCCATGTCCACGCAAAGGGTTTCATAGGAAACTCATGCTGGGGGAGACTCAGTACTCAGACTCTGCATCCCAGGGAGAGGCTGCCCGGGGGTTACACTTTAAGGGTCAGAGCCGTCCTTGAATTTGCAGGAGAAAGCCTTGTATTGTTTTCAGCCACCCCTCAGTGGCTCCAGTGAGGAGGCAGCACACTGGTCAGCACTGGTCAGTTGTGTGCACCTGCAGCTCCCCCTACCCCGCCACTCCCCAGCTGGCCTCCCCAAGAGGTGTGGACAAGGACAGCTCTGTGTGAAGTTGAGCGGTAGCCGGACCGTGTGCCTCCAGCTAACATCCCTTTGTTCTCCCAGGTGGCTGTCATGATGCTAACGCTCTTCCCTGTCCGGCTGCTCTTGGCGGCCTTCATGATGCTGCTTGCCTGGCCCTTCGCGCTTGTCGCGTCTCTGGGATGTGCTGAAAAGGAGCCTGAACAGCCCCTGGCTTTGTGGCGGAGGTGAGTCACTCAGGAGATGGGGCTCTGTGGGGGACAGGGTGACACAGCCTACAGCCCTTGGTCTGCTCTCACTAGGCTCCTGTCTGTCTGCTTGGGGTCTGTCCATCTTCCCTTTTGAGCCCAGCATCCCACAGGCACTGCTGTCCCCTTCCTGCCGCCTCTCTGAAACTGGCTGGCCTAGCAGCAATGGCTCAGCCCTGCTGCGGCTCCAGTGTTTAGGTCCTCATGATGCAGTAACAGCTCAGCCCTGCTGGGGCTTCATAGTGTTTGGGACCTCTTGTCACAGCGACAGCTCAGCCCTGCTAAGGATCCAGAGTGTTTAGGTCCTTATGATGCAGTGTCTGCTCAGCCCTGCTGAGGCTCCAGAGTGTTTGGGTCCTCATGACACAGCAATAGCTCAGCCCTGCTGAGGCTCCAGAGTGTTTGGGTCCTCATGAC